AAATTGCACTTCCTAGCATTTTCTGCTTGTCGAAATCTTTACAGATCTTTACATCCAAAGATGATATGTAACAAGTAAAGATACATCATAATTTTACTAAACAATTCAATTCTGGTCCTTTGTAACGTTTTTAGTTCGTTATATGTCTTTTATATATATATATATATATATATATAATATATATATATATATATATATATATATATATATATATATATATATATATATATATATATATATATATATATATATATATATATATATATATATATATATATATATATATGATGTCTGGCGTATCATCACCGGATTCCCTATCGTTCCGGCCGGATAATTTATTTGACGAATTTTTACGTTCTCTAGTCCACAACCTTGTTGTCGTTTGACACAACCCTGTTATCGCTCTGTGGAGGCACTGTCAACATCGCTTCTGTCAACTCTCTGTGCTGTCGACTGACTTTTGCTTTTAGCGCTCTGTAGCCTAACCTAACCATCCCGGCTCTTAGAAATGGTGATTATTTAAATCTTGCTGTATAATCTGAATCAGCTGCTATTTCGAAGCTACAGGTAAAGATGAAATATTATCCTTTTAGATTCGATATTATTACTGCATATTTTTAGGGTAGAGTTTTGGATGTCACAACTTAACTTGTATTTGTATTTTGCTGGCACGTTGGCGTCCCTTTTCTTTTGTCCTCCAGAATGTTAGATGGAAGAAAGGACAGTTTCTTTGTTTATTATTGAGCCCTCGGAAGTAATTCGAGGTAGGTTCATTTTGTTTATTAGACCTTGTTTGGTTTTATACAAGAGTTTCATATTTACTATTATTTTTTTAATTATTAATTTATTATGTTTCATTTTTAGGGTCCAAGGTACGGACTATTTCCAAGGTTATAGTCCTAAGTTATGGTCCAAGGTACGGGTAGTGTTCCCTTGTACCATTATCCTATGTACGGATGTCCTGTAAACGAGTGTCCCCAGTAGGAATGATTTTTCTTGCATATAAAGTGCCCCAGCGTGGATGTAGCTTGACCCCCTTGCTGCTTCGTTCCCATCCATAAGCTAGTTAGTAGTTACGGCTGTTCCAATTCATGGTGTCCTCATTCTGGCCCCTTTTGTTGTTTTGGATGGCCGAGTACAGAGATGCGAGACCACCTCACGCTGTTACTGTTTGAAGCAAGATTACGTAAAGAACAGCTAAGTGTAGATTTAAGTTATAGTTTCACATTTAACATTTATAACATTTTCAGTCTTAACTTAATAACGTACATTTTAAATAATATCGTACAGACTATACTTAGTGGTTAGATTATTAAGAACATTTATGTTGATTTAGTAGTTACAATATGATTTAGATCTTAGGTTTCATTACATTACGCCTTGTAATAATATTTAACCACTATAATAATTATTAAAATTGTACAATGCTATTTACCATCAGAATTCATCATGAATAAATATAGTCATTAGTTTTAAGTAATATACAACTGTGTTTTCTTTCTCTGTACATGCCTGGCGCCCAATATCTATATTTTTTTGTTTATTGTTATTGATTAGTTTTCTCTCTAGTGAAATACCTTATCCACGACTGGCTCTCCAATGAAAAGCTGCCGTTCGCAGAGGTAGTTGTTTAAAAAAACGGTACACCTTTTTGCAGCTGAACTGGGAGTCACAAAAGGAGAGGAAAAAATAACAACATAAATACCAAATATATTAACTACATTATTGTAACTACGTGCTCTTTTATAAACTTCGTTATTTAACTTACACTATTAACCCATATATCGACACTTTAGCTGAACTCATTCTATCGAAAAAGTGAGAGAATTAATGACACATACTTTTAGCAATCATGTCATTTTAAATAATAGACCACGGTCAACGTAATTCTCCAGTATCACGCTACGAGATGATTATCTTTGAGAGTATGAGCTGCTGGAAATCGAGAAGGTCGGAACAGTAAATTTAGTCAGTTATTTTTTCGATTATAACCGGCCTTTTTTGGAATGGGAACAGATCACTCAATTATCGCTATTTATTTCGCTAATAAAGCTTTTAATCAAATTGATGGAAAAATTCATAATATATATAAAATATTTATTCTTTCTTAAAGATAGTAAACTAATTATTTAGAATAGTTAATGCCATCATTGCTAATTGACACTAAAATCCTATTTACTCGTTAACTATTGCTTTACCATAGATTTAAAATTAAATCTTCAAGCGATGTCACTTAAAGGTTTTAGGACAAGAGGTAAAAAATTAAAACAAGGTGTCAGCAGCGTCTGAAAATTAATAAAACCTCGAAACCGCTATGGACAGAAATTTTATAAAAGTTAATCTAATTTCCACTTTAAAGTTTTACTTCAGAATCGATAGATAAAGCTGCTTCATTCTTTTGGATTTACCAGTTGGAAACTTAGTAGTTTTGCTTTAATATATCTAGTTTTTCAGTAGAATGTTTAAAATTATATTGTAATGAGTATTTTTATTGATCGACGATCTGCTGTATAAAAATAATTTGTGTTGGGTATCTATTTCAGTCGGGGCGATTAAGATTTACGAAATTAATATTCAATCTTTTGAAAATATTAAATAGGAAAAACATCGAGGTAGAAAATTTGAAAATTCATTTTATTTAGAATTTTTTTACTTTTTTCAAAATAAAATATTAGTTTAGGAAAAATATATCAATTTTTAATCAATGATATGTAGAGCTCGGCAAATATTATTGTAGTAGCTAGCAACGTCGGAAAAACAAGTATTTTAAGACGTCTAGCTCTTTGATATATATTTTACTATGCTCTCTAGAACAGCATGCGGCCCTGTCTGGCTGCCGGTAAACGTTGCGTTCCCTACTGCGCATTGAAAGAAAAATAGTTTTATTAGTCCTTTAAATTTTAGTGTAAAATATAAACCGACCGATTTTCCATAGCTCAGCGCGTAGAGGTTTCGCCTATCAAGCGAGGAGTCAGAGTTCGAATCCGGATCAGGGAAAACACTTTTTTATTTTATTTTCCTTTATATTCTGATAGTAAAGTATTAAATATTTGTTTTTTTTTAATCACCAGAATTATTTAATATTTTACTATCAGAATATAAACGAAAATAAAATAAAAAAGTTTTTGCCCTGACCCGGATTCGAACTCTGACTTCTCGGTTCGTAGTGCGAAACTCTACGCACTGCGTTATGGAGACATGTTCGGTTTATATTCAATACTAGAATTTATAGGACTAAATTAAAAAAATAGGATCTTCTTCCGATGCGCAGTAGTGAACGCAACGGGTATCGGCAGCCAGACGGGCCGCATGCTGTTCCAGAGAGCATAGTAAAAGATATATCAAAGAGCCAGATGTCTTAAAATACTTTCTCGAAAACGTTGCTAGCTCTTAGACTATTAGTTGCCATTTTATAAGTCACTCGGATATCTATTTTCAGATCATACGGTATTCTTACTGCTACTTTAAATATTATCACTCAAAATATTATAGTATTTTCTAAATTATCTGAAACTTTTTAAAAAATCTGGCGCCCAACGTGGGGTGTGTGACCGACCTACCTTTGCATAGACAGGTCGAACGTGGCAGAGAATAGCATTTTTTTATGTGTTACAAATACAATATGTATGTATTTTTAAATTTACTTTCCAACAATTATAGCTTTCTAGTATAATAGTTTTTATTACTTTTTTTTATATTTATGCAATATAACAAAATAAACTTTTATTACCGTATTTTTTTTGACAAGTTGTATAGTATTAAAAGAAGGCGTCCATTCTTCTCAAAGAGACCTGGTTTAAATTAAAAGGAAGTATAAATAAAAAAATTGGTCAAGTGCTAGTCCAACAACATTAGATACTATATTATTATAAACTTTTTTTCCGATTTAGCTGAAATTTTGAAAGCGCGTATAAGTAATTAAAAAAAATGAAGAAACACATTACTAAAAATTGTATTAATCAAAAATAAATATGTAAAAATATGTAAAAATTAAAAAAAAAGATTAACAAAAAGTGTCCTTGACTAGGATCGAACCTGCCTTACTACGGCTCTAACGTCATAGCAGCGTAAAGTCCTGACGCTTTAACCACGCGGCCACCGAGGACTTGAAAGATTCTATGTAAAATTCTTACTTAAAAGATAATGTTTAGTGAAAGTACTTTTTTATTTATAAATATTTATTTAATTCTGTTTTTAGTATTTATTCTTATAGCGGCAACATAGATACATTATCTGTAAAAATTTCATCTGTCTAGCTATAACGGGTCATAAGATAGACCTTTGTGACAGACGGACGGACGGACGGACAGCAAAGTCTTAGTTAATAATAGGGTTCCTGTTTTTACCCTTTGGGTACGGAACCCTAAAAATACTCAAAGTCTCGGTCTCAACGTTTATATTAAGTTAAACAGTGACACGTGTTTTGCTCATACGAGCATCATCAGACAAATACAATAAAAGTCATTCCACACACACGTTCACATTTTTCATACAGGAGTGTTGTTTTAATATGTAAAATGTGAACGTGTTTGTGGATTGACGTTTATTTTATTTGTCTGATGATGCTCTTATGAGCGAAAACAGCCATTTTTATTCATGGGGTTGTAGAATGAGTGGAAGGGGGGGGGGTTAATCACTGCGACCTTAAAGATCTATTGTGTCCCCTTTCCTTGAGTTATCACTCATACATGTTGTAGGAAGGACAGGGTATTTCCCATCCTTCTCTGACAACAGATGTTCCTCATCCTCCGAGGGTATACACCCCTCCACGGTTGAGGTTTGGCCCTCCGTGCCCTTCACAGTCGAGGATCTTGTCTCCAGCTGAGGTACCTGTGAGGTGGAGGCTGGGGGGTATGGCTTCATTTGTCTTTATTAAAAAAAACAGGGGTTGATGGCAGAAGGGTGAAAATCTAGGGTTGTATGTATTTTTATGCCACATAATAAAAAAATAAAATAAAAATTTTTGTCCAAATAATTAGAATGGAGGAAATCCCCTATTCTCATTCTCTGATATGATGGATTTCATGTACTGGAAAAAATTACTAAATAATTGGCGATTAAATAAATAGACAAAATAAAGCAATTTTTACTCAGATTTACCTAATACGGGTTTATTACAGACTGTTGATCGTACAAATGTAAAAATTATCTATTTATTTTAATTAAAGAATGGGAAAATACTCTACCTGAATTTTCTCGTAATTTTGGCAGGAAGTTGTTCCAGAAAGCACATGCTTGTGCACGCGGCCCTCGACCTATTCCATTTTTGTCAGCATTGAATATAAAATATTGAGGTTGTTCTTTTGTGTACAGCGGCCAGTTGACATCGTCGGTAACGGGTTTCAAAAAAGCGCACGCTCTTTATTTGCTTAATACATAAAATATGGGCTTGAATTTTTAAACTGTCAATATTGGTTCCGTTCCGTCGTATCGCTAATAAATTGTACAGACGATTTTGCTTTTTAACGTTTTTAAGGTAATTTGTTATATTTGTTAATATAACCACATACATATTAATATTTATATGTATTTTATTTTACAAAAGTAAATACAATTTTATGCATTTTAGAAATATTTCTTTATTAAACAACCTTTTCATTGTTATATTTATTAATTTTAACTGTTTGTTGTCGTCTAAAATATATCGTGCATATGCTGCATACCTACATCATAAATAATTATGAATAATAGGACTATAAACTGCATTATTCAAAACGAATATAAAATTAACATCAATGTAATGATACAGGGTGAGTCTTAAAAATTTTGGAAATGTTGTTTTTTGAAAAGAAGTATTTTTTAATTCTTTAGTTAAAAAAACATAATATCTCAAGAATATGGCAACCTTGGTAGTAGAATAAATGTAAAGGAAGGAAGACCTAGAAAACATCCAGTGGTTCTCAAAATTTAGCCAAATATTTCTGTTTTAATATTTTAAGTAAAGTAACTCGGTTATTTGAGACTTATTTGGAAAACAGTAAAGTAAAAATATGTTTCTTTTATCGAGATCTACCATCTCTGAAAATATTTGCACGTATTTAAGACGCATCCTGTATATTCCTCAAGGAGGACAGTGGCCAACTAACTTGAGTATGTTTTCCCAGTACAAACTTTGAAATACTACACTTGTGACAAACATCACAAGTACATGCAAGAGATTTTTTTGCTATATAAAAGCACGACTCTGTAACATGTATAGCAAGGATCATGGAAAATAAGTTTTGGTCCAGAGCCAGTACTTAGAATACAAACACAATAACATTTTTGAAACTTCTCTATTTTGTTTTCTTTCGTACCTTTTTATCTAGATCCCATGTTTAAAAATACATAGAACACAAAAAAAAATTCTGAAACTTAGAGTAAAATAATTATTATTTCTTGAAACATATAGCGACTGAATAAATATTAATGCATTTAAATTTTATAAAAGTGTGTTCTGAAAAATCTCTTGTTTTGAAAACTATGAAAACTATGAAATAATAACTATTAAAATATACATATACCGGAATTGATAAACGCCATTTATATTTGCAAATATTCTAAAAATAAGCAAAGTAATGCAGCAGATTATAAATAACTCGGAGATACAGGATTTTGCTTTTCGCTTCACTTCCCGCACAAAATAGTTTCATATTTCCGGAGATACTGATTTTTAGAACATAAAATCCATTCTATTTCTCTAATGAGTTTCGGAGAACATCCGGGAATTATAGTAAACAATGTGTCATTTAAGATAAAGCGGTATTCTATGAGAGCGGTAAAACATTCTCTGGGAATTTGTGATGCTAGGTTTAAAATTATTTTTCTTAAAAAGAAAAAAAACTAAACTGAAAAAATAACAAACATTTTCATTCATAAAATAGTTTTAAAAAACGAATATATAACCTCGAGAACGCACACACTTCAATTTTATATATTTTTTTAATGTTTAATCTACAATTTAATGTATGTACAATATGATTTAATTAGTAAGTAATATTATTTTGGCTCAAACGTCACAAAAGTATTAATTTTTGCGACGTTATTGACAATATAAAAATTTTAACGCCTAGGCATAAAAGTAAAGCACTTTTACGCCTAAGCACAAAAGTACGAAAATATATTATTAAGCTGACATAAAGTGTCAAATTCAACGAGCGTAATCATAGTTTCTCAATATATAATTACATTCACGGTATTACTTTTAAATATTTTTATATTATTTAGGATATTTGCAATTGTTTTTTGGGGCCTTTAAAAAAACCATATTTTATGCGGAGTAAAAATTACTTTGAGGCTCGCCTCTCGCCTATATGTCGTCAAACATACAGCTTCGCCACGAAAAAAGTATCATTTTTACTCCTAATAAAACAATATACTATTTTAGACTAATGTAAATGGCGTAGTGTATAATTCTTTGTAAAAATTATATAATATTTCATTATAACAATTTTTTATAGAAATAAGAAAATATCGAGGGGATATCAAATTTTATTTATTCGACCATACCCGCGTGTAACTAGGCTTTCAAAAAAAAATGGTTTTTTTCATCTAAAATTTAGCCAATTGTAACAAACACAGAAGTAGTTCATTCTTTATTCAATTTCAAGTAAATGTCCATCATATACTTAGAAGTTATGTATGTTCTTTCAAATATATTTGAATAAAATTTTAATATCTCTCAGATTATAATCTTAGTAACTAAAACTATATAAAAAAAGTTTGCTTAACAAATTTTAAAATTTTATAATACAATTTTTCTGTAAACAAAAACAAAATAAAATAATATTATGTTGTCCTGTTTTTAAAATATTTTAATTGCTTTTTTGTTACTTTACATTTTTATATTCACTACCTGATACTGATGGACTGTTTAAAATTTCTTCTGACTTATGAATATTAGCTCGTAATATACGTAAGTTGTTAAATATCAGCCTAAACCAGAGAACTATTTTAATTATTTCTAGTTCATTTATGAACATATATGTGGTACCATATTAATATAGTTTTTTATTATTATTGTAATAACATAGAGGTTGAGTCTAAAATAAGTGCAAATATTTTCACAGGGTTATCTCGATAAAATATATCTTATATTTACCGTGTTTCCGACAAGTCAAGACACTTTAAAAATTAAATAAAATAATTTTTCGCTTAAATTTTGATAACCACCGACTTTTTTCTGGGATTTTTTTGTAAATTTAATTTATAAATTTTCCACCAAATACTCCAAACAAATAAATCGCCAGAAAATTTAATAGACGTGTTTCTGGGGTCGAAATATACCACCTCTAAATATATTTGCACTTAAGATTCACCCTGTATATAAAATATAAATTAAAAATTTAAAATACAATTACCAAATAATTATTTACATTTTACTTAATCAATACGATTATAAGCATTTCTATATAGGGATCTAAAAATATTTATAAATACTAACTGACTAATATTTATATTTATTTATTTATACAGGGCGAGTTTTAAATAAGTGCAAATATTTTCAAAGTAGATCTCGTGAAAAGAAACATATTTTCTCTTTACTGTTTTCCAGATAAGTCCAAAATAACCGAGTTAATTTACTATAAATGAAAAAAATTATTTTTCGCTTAAATATTGATAATCGATAAATCTTTTCTGGATTTTTTTCCTTGTAAATTTAATCTACTACCTATGGTGCCGTATTATGAAGATGTTATAATTATTTTTAAAAAAAAAATTATATATATTGAAAGCTACAAGACATTTGTACATCAGAAGGAGGAATATGGCTTAACAAATCAGGTTGATTACTTGTCCATTTTCTCAATTCGAACCCCCCAGTACGCATAAGATCAACAAGTTCGTGTTGCAAACTTAGAGCAGAATTTAGATCATTTGCACCACAAATTGCGTCATCTATATAAATATTTTTCTTTATTGCCTTTGCAGCTAAAGGAAAATGAGACTCTCCCTGATTAGCAAGTTCTTGCAGTGTTCGAAGAGCTAAATATGGAGCAGACGATACCCCGTATGTCACTGTGAGCAGTTTGTATTCTTGAATTGGTTCATCTGAAGAAAAACGCCATATGATTCTTTGAAAGTTTTGAAATTGTGGTTGAATAAGAATTTGTCTATACATTTGCTTAATGTCACAAATAAAAACATATAGATGAAATCTAAAAGTTAAAAGAATAGAAGCAATATCCTGTTGTAACTTAGGTCCTATAAATAAAGAATCATTGAGAGATGTTCCATTCGTGTCTCGAAAACTAGCATTAAAAACCACCCTAAGCTTAGGTCCAGATATCTCATTTTTTATAACAGAATGATGAGGTATGTAGTAAGCTGTAGGAGAGTTATAGTCTTCCGGAGGGATCAATACCATATGTCCATTGTTGAGATAATCCTGCATAAACTCACAGTAAGCTTTACGAAGCTCTGGATTTTTAGCAAGCCGGAACTCTAGTGATGTAAATAGTCGACGAGCTTGATAACATGTATTACGGAAGAATGGATTCGGTATTTTAAACGGAAGAGGTACACAGAATCTGCCAGACTGATCTCTATAAGTTAGCGATCTATAAATTTCCTCACACTGGACATCCTCAGTAGACAGGCTAGAAATTTTAGGAATTTCCTCAACTTCCCAAATTTTTGAAGCTGAATATCTAAGTTATTTTCAATAGAAGTATGGCAGCTTAGCAAAGTTGAATTATGTAACGGTACATGGTCAGAAACTGCCATGCCTTGAAGAATATATCCGAAAATTGTTTCTAGCAACAGTTGACCCTGTTCACCTAAAACCCGTCCTGAACGTAGAATATGAGGTACCATTCAGCATCAATTAAAAGGTCAATAGGACCTGGTTTTTGAATGAATAATCAGCTAATTTAAGATAGAATTTATATTTATCTTAGGTTGGTCAGAACTACAGGTCAGTTCTGACCAACCTAAGATAAATATAAATCCTTCGTCTTGGACACATATCCAGAATCTTAAATTAGCTGATTATTCATTTCAAAACCCAGGTCCTATTGACCTTTTAATTGATGTTGAATTGGTACCTCATATTCTACGTTCGGGACGGGTTTTAGGTGAACCGGGTCAACCAATATAAAATTATATACATTTAAAAATTCTAACAAATTTTTCAGAAAATTACAAATTAAAAAAAAATTCGCGAAAAAACCTCAGTCGTGTACTCCCAAAAATATTTGCACTTATTTAAGACTCATCCTATATAATCAAGTAAATATTGCCAACTAATTATTTTTTTTTCAAATTAAAAACGATATGCTTTACAAAATAAACCGAATATTAGCTTGTTCGATTATTTCTATCTTCCTGGATTTATTTCTGCAATTATTACTGATTCGGCGGACC